CTAAATCGAAAAAAAAAAAAAATACTCTATGTTTGATCACTTGATGAAATTAATCTTGTTTTACTAATCAACTTTCCATGTTTCCTTTTCATGTGGGTGATACTTAAACTTCAAATGGTCAACCATCAGATCCAAATGGTGAGCAAATCTTTTATCTTTGCAACTTGTAATATATTTTACAATATATTTTTTCCAAATCGTTTTCTTCTAATTCTTCCTCATATTTAGTCAATTTCACATGTTCCTTCCCCTTCTCCCTCCAACAAATACCCCATTTTTTTAATCATTTTAATATTTTTTTAAATAATAATAATACTTACAGGACCAATGTATTACAATGGAATCTACCATCTTTTCTATCAATACAACCCAAAAGGGGCTATTTGGGGCAACATTGTTTGGGCCCATTCAGTCTCGAAAGACCTAATCAACTGGCAAAGACTACCAAATGCCATATACCCATCAAAGCCCTTCGACAAATTCGGTTGCTGGTCGGGCTCGGCCACGATCCTCCCCGGTAACAAGCCCGTCATTCTCTACACCGGAATTGTCGACCCAACAAACACACAAGTCCAAAACTACGCAGTCCCAGCCAACTTATCCGACCCATACCTCCGAGAATGGGCCAAGCCCAATAACAACCCATTAATCAGCCCAGATAAGTCCATCAACAAAACATCCTTCCGCGACCCAACAACGGCTTGGTTGGGCCCGGACGGTCATTGGCGATTATCATTAGGCGGGCGAAGGAATAATCGAGGGATTGCTTATTTGTACAGAAGTAAGGATTTTAAGCATTGGGTGAAGGCCAAACATCACCTACATTCAACGCCGGGGACCGGGAATTGGGAGTGTCCCGATTTTTACCCGGTTTCGATCAACGGTGAAAACGGGCTTGACACATCGGTTAACGGGCCGCGAGTTAAGCATGTGATGAAAGTGAGTCTTGATGTGACGAGATATGAGTATTACACGTTGGGTAGTTACTCGACGAAGAACGATAGGTATGTTCCGGATAAGGGCATGATTGATGGGTGGAAGGGGTTGAGGTACGATTATGGCAATTTTTATGCCTCGAAATCGTTTTACGACCCGAGCAAGAAAAGGAGGATCTTGTGGGGTTGGGCTAACGAGTCCGATTCGACTGCGGACGATGTTAAAAAGGGTTGGGCTGGAATTCAGGTAATTACAATTTTTTTTTAAAAAAAAATTCAGTAGTTTTTAACCAATCATTTTTTTAACTTAAATCTAACTTAATTTTAACTTAATCTCACAATTCTCAATATTATCAATATAATTAAATAATACCAATCAATCATTCTTACATAATGCATCAATTTTAATTCATTATTAATCAACTCACATAACTTTAACTAATCATCACTTCACATCATCTCTCTCCTACTTTTACATCAAATCAACTTTGATTATTTTATTTCAAGTCTTATTTTAATATAAACTAAAAATTCCACTAAAAACTAACCACTTCTTTCAAAATTAACCATGGTTAAAAAAAAAATCATTTTGGAAATATATCTTTTACAATTAGCCCAAAAACAGTCATAAACGTGGTGTTTCTTTCATGAAATTGTACTAACATTTCATGGTTTCTCTCTCTTTTATTTTTTTCTCCTTCATTTCTATATTTTTCTAAAGCTTATCCCACGTACAATTGTGCTCGACCCCAACGGCAAACAATTGCTGCAATGGCCTATTGAAGAAGTAGAAACTTTAAGAAGGAACAAAGTCGAGCTGACAAACCAGAGGCTCGGTAAGGGAAAGAAAATCGAAATCAAAGGAATAACACCTGCACAGGTAATCATTCTCTTTTGTTTTGCATCTAGCACATACCAAGGGAATACTAAAAAAAAAACGGGATATTCCACATGTGCAAGGACATTTGAGTAATTTTATACAATAACGACTCGTTCTATTAGATGAGAACTCAGAGATGGATATAGTAATTTACTAATTTACCATGTGTTACGTATAATCATGGCAGGCTGATGTGGAAGTGACTTTCTCCTTCGACAGCTTGGACAAAGCTGAGCCGTTTGATCCAAGCTGGGACAGGTATGATGCACAGAAGATTTGCAGTCAAAGGGGTTCGACTGTCCAAGGTGGATTAGGGCCATTTGGGCTCTTAACATTGGCTTCAAAGAATCTGGAAGAGTACACTCCAGTTTTCTTCAGAGTTTTCAGGGATCAGAACAAGTATCTTGTTCTCATGTGTTCCGATGCATCAAGGTCTTTTTTTTTTTTTCCTGCTCAAAATTTTAGCAACTTTATATTCACGAAAAAGATGAAAAAAATAAAATAAATAAAATCCAATTATCCTAAAAAAAATTGGTTAACTTATCAATTTATCAATTTCGTCGTTTTGATTAACTTATCTGTTTTCCTATTTGATAATTTCTGAAGGTCCACCTTAAGGGACGAAACTGGGATATACAAACCCTCGTTCGCAGGATTCGTTGATGCAGAGTTGAGCAGCAAGAAGCTTTCTTTAAGGAGTTTGGTATGTATATTATTTTAGTATTATGTGACCATTTTATTAGTACTTCGAAAATTGGGTTTCTTGATTGAGCTATTTTCTTGTAGATCGATAATTCTGTTGTGGAGAGTTTTGGAGCTCGAGGGAAGACATGTATTTCATCAAGGGTTTATCCGACTCTAGCAATATACAACAATGCACATTTATACGCATTCAACAACGGCACTGAGACTGTGAAAATCGACACTCTGCAAGCCTGGAGTATGCATAGACCTCAGAATATGAACCAATAAATATACATGCATTTGCAGATTTGAGCGAGAGATAAAATGATGCACTAATTTGCTTTTACATTCTTCCTTTTTTATTAGCATGTATTTCTGTATTCTCTTGAAGTAACAAATTCAAGTTTCAAACTTCTCCTGATTCAAGTTTGTATGTAATAATGCATCTCTGTACACACACAAGAAGGAAAAGAATTAATTAAAAGAATTACAACTAGAGACTGGGAATTAATTTTTTTTTACTTACCAGACACCATTTTGAAAAAATCACCAGTTATCCCCACAAGAACAAGCCCCTTCCTTGAAATGGTGAAACCGGTTCACATCACGGACAATCACAGCCCTCCCCGTGACCAAAGACACGAATTTGATAAACGTGTGGCAATCCCCGCAAACCCTAAGATTCTTCGTCATCCTAATCACACTCCCGTCCAGAGTTCGAATCAAACCAAACGCAATAGCCAACTTCTCACTGTGATTACGCAAAAGATCCAACTTCAACTCTTCATCCACGTCATGCAGCACGAAATTCGAGTCCGGCACATATCCCTCCACCTCGATTTTCCCGCTCAAATTCTTTAATTCCTCGTAAATCTCTTTACACATAGGGTGCGCGCAATCCCCAACGCTAAATCTATGAATCTCGTTATCCACTTCAATCCACGTCCACCTGGGCACTTTCTTGATCTTTTTACAGGTCATTATTTCCCTAATTTCATCAAACAGTTGAGCCTTATCGGGAGTTCAAGACTCGGTCCACACCCCGATCATCACGGTCCAGCTACCGATGTCCCTCACAGGCATTTCATCAAACAGTTGAGCTGGATCCATAATAGCCTTACCTTTCATATACATGTCTATGAGAACTAGAATTAAACCCGTATTTGCAAACAACACAGTGCAACACCCGACCCACTACCAAATCCTCCATTTTTCTACAGACCTTGATCGCCACAGGAAGAGTGTAGCAATCGGGTCGGTCCCCGGATCTTATATAATCCCTGAAAGTGGCGTAACAGTTTATATAGTCATAAGATTTCGCATACCCATTAATCGTAGCACACCATGAAAACGAATTTTTCCGTTCAATTTCATTAAAAACTGCGGAGGCGCTTTCCAGAGCTTTGTTCAATGCGTACGAGCGAAGGAATTTGGTGGCCAAGACAAGATAACGAATTTCTCCATTGACGATCGCTTGGCAGTGCAGCTGACGCAAATGGGAGAGACTTTTGCACCGAGCGAGTGAGGAGAGAGCTGAGGAGAGAGCGAGCTTCGGGTCCCCGTTTTTGGGCAATTGTGAAAATGCGGGTTCTTTGGCAATGGTGGGAGCTTGATTGACAATGTCTGTGGAATTTGTTCGTGGGCTGTGGATTGGAGCATTGATAGAAATCGTGAGCCGCCATGATTATTTGAGAATGCAAGATTTTGTTGTTTGAGTTTAAGCAACAAAATAGATCTGTGAGATTTTACATGTACAACTACAAAATAAATCCAATAATATTTCTCCTCTGTGAGATTTTTTCTCCTCTGTGAGATCCCTTTCTCCCTCGTGAGATTTTCGTTCCATTCTTTGGATTAGTTTCGACCTCAGATCTGACTTTTCTTCATCTTCATATGTGTATCTCTTCTTGTTTCTTTTTGTGTCGTTTCTCCGCCCATTCATCTCTTTATACTAATAGATCTGGTTAACAGCTATGTTCAATTCTTACCTGTATTTTGCATTTGTGAGTGCGCGCGGTACCTTAATTTGTTGAATTCTCCTCTTTTTCCTAGGATCTAGTAAGCAGTAAATTGATTGGTTTTGGGGGTGTCGGGCTAAGGCCTTTTTAGGGGTTTTTAGGGTTTAGTTTGGGGCTTCGATGGATCAAGCCCTAGCTGCACATTTCCAGAAGTTCGCTCTATCTGATAAAGAGGAACAAGGTATAGAACTCTCAGAGATAGAAATAGCTCCGGGACTTCAGGAATGTGGCAACAGTTTAATTGGGAAATGTTTTGGCGAAAAGAAGATCAACCTCAGTGGTTTAAAAGTGACTTTGAGTAGCATCCGGCAGACACATCGCCCTTTCTCAGTTCGAAGTGTTGGCCCAAACCTCTTTCAATTCCTCTTTCAGTCAGAGGAAGACAAGGAGAGCATAAAAAACGGTAAAAACTGGACATTTGACGGCCAATACCTGCTCTTGAAGGAATGGAACCCAGAAGCTCTTGAATTCTCTGAAGCGGAGGAGAAGATAAAGATTTGGATCCAAATCATGAACCTACCCCTTCACTGGATGGTTGCAGAAACAGGCCTGAAAATTGGCAGGCTACTAGGCAAAGTTCTCGATATCCAAATACCTGGAACATGAAGCTCGAGCCAAGTGATGAGACTCTACATTGAGCTACCGCTGAAAGCTCCACTTGTCAAAGGCCTCAAGGTCAAAGTTGGATCTGAACACAGATGGGTAGACATCAGGTATGAAAACCTCCAAAACTTCTGTTATTACTGCGGTAAAATCGGCCATTTTGATAAAAAATATTCTAAAAAAAGAGGAAGACATAGGTAATAATGTGCTTAACCCGGCCAATTTGGTGATTGGCTTAAGGCCCCAACTTTCTCTTCATATGAGTTTAGCACAATGTTTGGTTCGGGGGAAAGTGAGAGGAGGGGGAGGGAGGAGAGGGAATTTTATAATTTTCCTTTCTTTGGTTCAAATTTTGGTGGGGGGAGGGGTTGATATTTTTCCTTCAAATCCCTCCTCCAAGGGAAAATCTCTTCCCCTCCAAAAGTGGAGGAATTTGAGGGTGAAGGAAAATTTATCACATACAATTACTATATTATCTTTTATATGTAAATTATTTTATTATTTTGTTTCTTACATCATTAAGGATACAATTGTCATTTCTACAATATTTTCTTTCTCCTCCCTTATTCTAACCAAACAAGGTTTACCATTTTCCCTCCACTCTCCTCCTACAAAATCCCTCCAAACAAGGTAAAATTATTTTACTTCACCTCCCATCCCCTCCCCTTCCTTCCATTAAAATCCCTCCCCTCCCCTTCCCCTCAGTTGAACCAAACATAGCCTAGGAGTCCTAGGAGCACCTCTAATACTCCTACTGAGGTTAAAGAGTCAATCAAATCCTCCAAATTGCCACCTGCTGTTTCTGAGGATACTGGCAAAGCCAATGAACCTGAGGTTGTTGGTCAAATCAGTCCACAACCTCTCAGGGACGATAGTGGAACCCAAACTATAGTGCCAATTATTAAACCTCCCATTACTACTGAACCTGGAGAACACTCCAACATAAAACCTATCCCTTCTGAGATGGAGGGCAATGTTCAGGACTTTGGCCTTGTAGATGTTGTGGTCCAATCCCTTTTATCTACTGATGCACCTGTTCCTAAGAAAAAGAAATATGGCCCTAGAAAAACTAAAACCCCAACTCCTGAATCAATGGCAGTTGATGAAGGAAGTCTACAACCTGTTACTGTTGAAGAGAGCAGATGTCTCAAAAAAAGAACTCTGGAGGAGGTTAACCCTCTAGAACACTCTCTTACTGTTCATTGTCTTGAACATAAAAAACCTAAACTTGAAGGAGTCTTAGCAACTGTTTCTGAGGTGGAGGAGACCAGCCCCAAGTTGTCCCAAGGTTTTAAATGAATGTTGGGGTGTGATATTGTAAAGGTTTGGGAGGACCCTTTACAATTCCCCAGTTCAAGGAGTCCCTAAGGACCCACCACCCTGATTTGTTTTTTCTTTCTGAAACAAAAATAAATAAATAAATAAAAAATTGTTGAATCAGTTTGCAAAAATTGTAGGTTAGAGGATAGATAGTCTTATGTCATCCCTGTTAATACTAGAGGGGGTTTGCTTTTGTGTTGGTCTGCCAAAGTTGACATTTTAGAATCGAATTGCTATGATTTCTACATTGAAGTCCACTGCAGGATGAGACGTACAGATCTTGTGGTCTGGGGTGCCTTTGTCTATGCCAGTACCAACCCCTCTGAGAGGCTTTGTCAATGGGATTTCCTCATGAGACATAGTATACTTTGGGGGAAAGATTGGTTTATCTATGGAGACTTCAATGACATTTTGTCCCATCATAAGAAAAGTGGTGGTCTTAGGAGGGATGAGAGTAGCTTTCAAGATTTTAGAAACCTGGTGCATGGTCTTAGTTTGGCCGAGCCTAGAGTTAGTGGTCACCCATTTACATGGTCTAACCTTAGGCAAGGAGCTGCTTTCATTGAAGAAAAACTTGATAGGTTTTTCCTCTCTCTTGATCTCAATCTTAAATATCCAAATGCCTTGGTTAAGCACATTCAAACTGTATCTTCTGACCACAGTATTATTGTTATGGAGCTTTTCAAACCTGTTTCAAAATCTGCTAGTAGATTTCACTTTGATTCTAGATGGGTGCTTTTTGAGGGCTATATGGATGAAGTTGATAAAGCTTGGAATATTAATAATGTCTCTGGCCCACCTCTTTTTAGTCTCTAGAAAAGACTTAGTAATGTTAGACACGCCCTGTCTAAGAGGAATAAGAACAACAGTTGCAATGCCCAGTCTCAGATTACTAATCTTAAATCTATCTTAAATAACTTAGAAAGTGAGGGTAGCAATAGGAATTGGGATGTTTGGGCTAGTTGTAGAACTAAACTGCACAGGGCCTACAAAGATGAAGAAACTTTTTGGAGACAAAAATCCATAATTCAGTGGCTTAGGGATGGTGACAAAAACACCAAGTATTTTCTTGCAACTGTGAAACAGAGAAGGAAGCAGAACTTTATTGAAAACCTTGTGAGAGATAATGGGACCATTTGCACCAATAAGCAGGAGAACCTGGATGAAATCATCAGCTTCTTCAGGAACTTGTTCAAAACCTCTAATCCCATCCTGGACAATTGCAACTTAGAAGGTATCCCCTGCTCAATCTCTGAGCATATGAACAGAACCTTAACTAGAGAGGCAGAGGATAGGGAGATCAAAGATGCTTTGTTTAGTTTGGGGAAAGATAAGGCTCCTGGTAGAGATGGTTTTACTGCTTACTTCTTCCACTCTTCTTGGGACTCCATCAAAGTCCTCTTTTGCTTGGCAGTTAAAAACTTTTTCCAAAGTCATAAAATGCCCAAAGGTATCAACCATACTGTGATTACACTTATCCCTAAAATCCTTAATGCCACTAAAATTGTTAAGTTCAGACCCATCAGCCTCTGCTCTGTTATCTACAAAGTCATATCCAAAATAATTGCCACTAGAATGAGCTCTGTTTTACATCATTGCATTTCACCTGCTCAATCTGCATTAATTCATGGTAGGCAAATTCTTGATAATGTCATTGTTGCTAACGAGTGCATTCACTATCTAAATGGCAAAATAAAAGGGAAAGACTGTTACATGGCTGTTAAATTGGATATGTTTAAAGCTTTTGATAGGGTTGAATGGGATTTCCTTGCTAAAATTTGTTTGAAAATGGGTTTCTGTGCTAATTTTGTCTCTTGGATCTTGGCTTGTGTATGTTCTTCTTCTTTTTCTATCAATCTTAATGGAGAAATTGATGGTTTTTTTCAGCCCTCTAGAGGCATTAGGCAGGGGGACCCCCTGTCCCCTTACCTATTCATCCTGATATCTGAGGCTTTTTCTAACCTTATTTCTAGAGCTTCTTTGAATAATGAGTACAAAGGCATTAAGATTGGTCATTACTCTGCTAATATTACTCATCTCCTCTTTGCTGATGACTCTATTTTGTTTTGTAAAGCTGACATTGAACATGCTAGAGTTATTCTGAGCATTTTGGATTAGAGCTGGTATTTTTTGACAGAAAACCGAAAACCGAACTGAACCGAACCGAACCGACTCATGTTTAACGGTAACCGATTATCGGTTACCGAATTGTTATCGGTTCGGTATCGGTCCGAACCCATTAGGGTTCAGTTTTTACCGAACCGAACCGATGATAGATAGGCTTGTGAATACATATATTAGTTAAATAAAATAATTAATTAAGTTAATATACAACTAGCTAGTCTAAATGTTATAATTTAGTTGGTCTGTTTTCAAGGATCACCGAAGAGCTTGATTCGAGAGCTGGGAATGCAGCATCAGATATCCATTCATTTCATCAGGAAGCACGCCAACTCCACTGTGTCATTTTTCTTTTTCTACATAGTCATACTCATATCATGCTTGGGCATTTTAATAGGATAACTAGGTTAAATCTTAATTAGTAATTAGTAAAGTGACGGGTCATTAGGATTTAGGGGCTTAGAACTGGGAGTGGGGACCTGGGAGAGTTCACTTCATAGAAATCAGAAATTCAGAGAGAAAAAAAAAATAAAAAAAAAAAGAGAGAAGAAGGTTGCTGCTGCAAGCCTGCTGTTGCTTGTGTTCTTTATAATATTTTTTCAGTTTTTTCGGTTTTTATCGGTTTATACCGAAACTGAACCGTTTTATCGGTAACCGACAAATCGGTTACCGAATTTTTATTGGTTCGGTTTCGGTTTGAATATTAGTGAAACCGAACATGTTCGGTTCGGTATCGGTTTAATGTTATCGGTTCAGTTACCGAACCGATACCAGCCCTATTTTGGATAACTATGAATCTTCTTCTGGTTAAAAGGTCAATCTTCAAAAGTCATCAGTGTTTTTCTCCAAAAATACACCCTCTCTTGTCAGATCTGAGGTGAGTCAAATTCTAAATGGAATTTCCACTGTGTCTTCTTCTAAGTACCTTGGCCTTCCTCTTGGCATAGGTAGATCCAAAAAAGATACCTTTCATTTTGTGAGTGATAGTGTGAAATCCAGAATTTCAAACTGGAAAAATGTTTTCTTGAATGATGCAGGTAAGGATGTCCTTTTGAAAGCTGTGATAGGTGCATTGCCTACCTATGTGATGTCTTGTTTCCTGCTACCAGCCTCTATTTGTGGCACTATTTGCAGGGACTCTGCCAACTTCTGGTTGGGAAAATCAGTTCAGGAGGGTAACAATATCCATTGGGAGGCTTGGGGTAATTTAACTAGGACTATATAAAAGAGTGGGTTAGGGTTCAAAGACCTCAAATTATTCAATGAAGCCCTTATCATGAAACAACTTTGGAGGGTCTTAACCAAACCTAACCTTCTTATGAGTAGAGTGATTAGAAGGAAGTACCTTAGTAACCATAGTTTGAGAGAGGCCAAGGCTAAGAGTGGGGATTCTTGATTATGGAGGAGTTGGCTGAAGGTGAGAGACAAGTTCTTTCTTGGGATTAGATTTCAG